CCCCTGAGTGCTTCCACAAGGCTCTGTCACAAGTTGTGTCCTAGTGCCTGCCAGGCTCAGGCTGCAGGTGGGATATTTGGGGTCAGTTCAGCTGCAGGCTCTTGGAGGGCTCCTGACTGAGCTCCCTTCTGCCCTGCCAGGGAGGGGAAGGAGCCTCCAGCTTTGCCACTGCAATTCTTTCTGGCGTGTGCTTGCCTGGGTTTGTGATCCATGGTGGAATTTCCCTGCTGCTTTACCCTTGCTTCTCTTTTTCATCTTGTGGTGGGCAGGGAGAAGAGCTTTGGGGAAGAGGGTTAGAAACAAAGTCTGTCTGGGTTTGAGAGGGGAATTTTCGTCAGAGAAAGTTCATTTTGCTGTGGGAAGGTCCAGTTTGGGTCCCCAGGGCAAATATCTTCATTTTTAGCCTCAGTGAGGTTTGATAAATGTGGTGTGGACAGTCTGTAAGACACATCGCTGTTACTGCTGGGGGTGGAGGCCACCTCACAGGAGGAGAATCCTTATGGACAGGGCCTGAACTTCAGACTTCCCAAACCACAGGGAGTGTCTGTGCACATCAGGTTAGGCAGATAGCATTTAAATATCTGCTAATGATGCTCAGCGGTGACATAATGATATGCAAACCCTCCATAATGAGTAACAGAACAAAGCAATTGCTGCAGATAAACCTGCATTTCTCTAAGATAAGATTTAAGGGTTTCCCTGAAATCTTAATGGGAACAAATCCGAATTTATTGCCCTCAGGTGTGACTTATCAGCCTCAGCTGCACCAGTTAGGTTCTGAGGATGGTTTAGAGAGGAGCTGCTGCAGCTGGGATTGACTTTTTTTCTGTGCTAAATCGGTGGTTTTGGTTTAAAATGGCAGTGCTGTGGAGCAGCTGCAGTTTTTGGTTTAGGAAAACTTCCCATGTTGATGGTAATTTCCCCAAAGTTCCCCTATTGAGGGGAAGACTGAAATAGCCCTGACAGGCTGCCAGGCCCTGCAGGGATGAGTCCCTGTGCTTGTGCTGGGGCTTCTCCTGCTGTCCCAGCCAAAATGGGGAATTCCTGCTCTGCTGTGGATTTATGGGGAGAGTTGGATTGATGGAGAGCAGGTTTCCTTCACCAGGGTGGGGTGTCACCCTCCGTGACCTGGGCTGTGTCCCTGTGTCACCCAGGACTGTGGGGTTGGAGGGACACATGATGCTGGTGACCCTGTGTGGCCTTGGATCCCTGAGGTGCCATCCCAAGCTGAGGCTGCATGTCCAAGCAGTTTTGGGATCCCTGAGGTGCCATCCCAAGATGCACATCCAAGCAGCTTTGGGATGCCCTAAGGCACCATCCCAAACTTCACATCCAGGCAGTTTTGGGGTCCCTGAGGTGCCATCCCAAGCTGCACATCCGGGCAGTTTTGGGGTCCCCTGAGGTGCCATCCCAAGCTGCACATCCAGGCAGTTTTGGGGTCCCCTGAGGCACCATCCCAAGCTCATCCCTGCACATCCAAGCAGTTTTGGGGAGCAATGAGCTGATTTCAGCCTTGACCAACCATGGCTGTTGGAGCAGGAGCCTTGTGGTGTTGGGCTTTGGTGCCGGTACAGAAGTGGCTGCCTGGTTTTTGGGGGTGTCAGGTATTGCAGGTAATGCTCTTAAATGCCATTCCTGCCACCTGTAGGAGAGGTAACACGTGCTGGAGGTGTTAATGCTTTGTCTGTGTCCCGGCAGCTTTGGCAGCTTTGCATCGGTATCTGCCGCTTATGCAGATCTGGGAGCATCAAAGCGCCAGGTGCCTCCCCACCGATAATCCAGAGGGAGGGAGGAAACCCTGTGAAACACCTGGCCAGGTGTGACCGGGGTCCTGCTGGGCTCTCGGTGCAGGCCCTGGGGCCATGGGCTCATCAGGGCCGTAGTGGGGGCAGAGAGAGCCGGGGTGTGGTGAGGTGATGTGCACATCTGCTCTGCTGCAATTTGTCCCCAGCCCATTCCTTAAACCTTTCCAGCCGTGGTGTGGGACCAAGTGGTCTCAGCATCCCATTGCTCTGGTGCTTCACCCTTCACTCCCTCCCTTCCCCCTCCCACCCCCAGCTGCTGCATCCTTCAGCCAGGACGTTTTGGATCCATCTCCCTCATGCATTCGCGTTTACAGCTCTCCAAGCTTGCCCGAGCCCTGCCAGGAGCAGCTCAGCATTCCAGGGCACATCCCTGCTTCCCCAGACTCTGCTCCTCACCCGACTTGTGCTGTTTTTTCACAGGCTGAGCCCAGTTGTGCACTGTGGGAGGGAGGGAGGCAGTCGTGGGTGGCTGAGGCACAGCTGGGATGCTCCAGGGAGGTCCAGGGACAAGTTGGCTTTGTCCTTGCATTTCCCATCCCAGCCCCTTTTTGTCTCAACCCGGTGTCCCTGTGTCCTGCCCTACTTCTCTGTGTCCTGCTCCGTGTCCCTGTGTCCCAGTCAAGGGACAAACGCCACCTGCCCAGCCCAGCTCGTGCTTCAATGCACCATTTGTACAAATACCACCCTCGGTCTGTTTGTTCTCACTCTTTCCTTTCTCTGTGTCCAAAGCATCTGTGCCTGCTGTCCCCCTGGCTGAGCCAGCCCTTCCCAGAGCAGGAACCTGCCAGCTCCCCCAGCCCTGGGATGCCCTGAAGGGTCGTGGGCAGGACTGGGTCTGTCCCCCACTTTATTGTCCTCGTGTCTGGGCTCCTGTGACCCCCAGCCGATGTAGATTGGGGCAGGAGCAGGGCCAGAGCTCTCCCTGCTCAGGTCAGGTCGAGCCTGACAGATCCTTGCCTAAACCCGACTTTATTGTCATTATCCACACTTTGATGTTTTCCTTACAGCCCTGGAATCCCAGCCTTTATTTTTCCACCCTGCTCTTCCCAGCCAACGGCCTCTGCCTCCCCCTGCCCCGCCACAACTTTTGAACCCGCTGCTGGATTCCAGTCAGGCGTGACGGAGGGGCAGAGATGGCAGAGACAGATAGAGCACCGGGAAGAGGGGCAGAGATGGCAGAGATGGCAGAGATACAGCCCCTGGCAGAGATGGCAGAGATACAGCACCGGGAAGAGGGGCAGAGATGGCAGAGATACAGCACCGGGAAGAGGGGCAGAGATGGCAGAGATACAGCCCCTGGCAGAGATGGCAGACATAGAGCACGGGGAAGAGGGACAGAGATGGCAGAGATAGATACAGCACCGGGAAGAGGGGCAGAGATGGCTGAGATACAGCCCCCGGAGGGGCAGGGGTCCCGGGGGGGGCGCTGGGGGGAGTGAATCCTCCTGCTTTGGAACCCTCTGTGAGCCGCAGTAACAAAACTGCGGCGAAAGAGGCAAAATACTGTAATTTTCCATCACCCAGAGCACAGACGGGCAGGTTCCTGCTTTGCCTCCTGCCGGGGGTCAGCCCCGCGCCCCCGGCCCACCCTTGACAGCTCCTGCAAATGACCCTCTAATGACGGGATGGTCGCGGTGTGAAAGCTGTAGGAATATGGAAGCGGCCCCGGGGAGGGCCCGCTGCGGCGGGGGAGCAGCAGACACGCTTTGTTTATCCGCCGGCCGGGATGTGGATTGCGGATAATCAGCCTGGGCTGGGATGTGGAGTCGGGGCCGCTGCTCCCAGGAGGGGCGGGGTGGGGGTGGTCGCTGTCCCAGGGCCACCCGCCGCCAGCCCCGGTGCTTGCTTGGGGTCCCGCCAGTCCCCTCTGCTGCCTGGGGGTCGCCGGTGGGTCCCCACGCGTGTGTCGTGTCCCCGTGCAGCTGTGAGCCTGGCTCCGCCAAAGCCGGGCTGGTCCCCGCTGCCATGCGGGGGGACACGGTGACCCCGGGGCTGCCATGCGGGGGGACACGGTGACCCCGGGGCGCTCGGGACCCCGGCATCGCCCCCAGCCCCAGCGCTCCTCCGGATGGTGACCCAAAGGAGCTGCCTGCAGCACAGGGCTTAGGATGCACTGCTCTTACAGGGCACGGCCCTTCCCTGACCTCCGAGGGGTAAATAAAGGAGGAAAATCCCTTCAGCCTCCCCTGCCACGCCTGCAGGTGCCTCCCTTGCTGTTGAGCAACCCCTCATCAGGGTGGGAGCAGCTTTGTCCTTATCTCATGTGAGCTTTGGAGCTTTCCAGCATCTCTTGCACTGTTGGAGGGACTCCCTGCTCTGGTAGTTTCAGAGCAGGCAGAGCCCACCTGCTCTCGGAGCAGGCTGCAGCCAGAGCAGGGAGGAGCTCTGGGGGCAACAGATGGGACACAGAGAAGGGGACACTCACACCCTCATGCCATCAACAGCAAAAATCAGCAGAACCCAATGGACATTTTTAATATATATAATTTATTGATGAGTTGTACAGCTGTGACCTTTTCACTACCAGCCCATCCAGCGAGGGGGAAAAGGTTTGAGCAGAGCTGTGGTTATTTCTCTGTAACAGCTGCCCCCCTGGATCTGCCAGGTGGGGCTCTGGACATTGGCCAATACATTCACTTGTCTGAGTTGCAATAGAAATCTGACAGTTTTAATAGAAATATAACAGAATTCTTAGGAGAAACACCTAAACTCCAGGGGAGATTGAAAATCCTCGTGGTGTGTATGCTCAGCATGGCCAGACACTGCAGCTGCAGGGCTCTGAGGACCTGTGGCTCCTTGATGATTCCCATGGCTGGGAATTCCCATTGCCTGAGCCGTGTGGTGGCAGGGAGCAGCTGCCATGCCCCAGCCCTGCACCTCAGCTCCTGCCTCTGTCCCACACAGGGCAGCCTCCAGCTCCTTGGTAAGCACAGCACGGGGCACCACCACCCCAGAGCTGTCCCTGGTGCCACAGGGAGGTGGCTGGTGGCCTTTTCCACGTGCAGCCTGGATCCAGCCAGGCACTGTGGCCGTGCAGTGTAGCAGAGCTGCCGGGCACCCACTGCTCCCCAGGTCCAGCCAGGGCTGTGCCAGCCCGCAGGGCTTCAGAGACACCCTGCCCTGCGCAGTGCTGCTGGGTCCTTGGGGCACTTCTGGGCACAGATTTGCACCTTCCTGGCGGGCTAGAGCTCGGCCTCAGTTGCAGCCACACTCCTCGATGATCATGTCCTCGTGGTGGCGAACGACGACCTCGCCCTTCTCGTAGTAGAGCATGGAGAGGGGGCTCATCTTAACTGGGGAGCAGGCAGGACACGGCACCTGGTTGGGCTTGTAGAGCTGCAGCAAACTCTGTGGGAGACACGGGAAGGGCAGAACATCCCCCTGCTGGGCTGTGGGGTGCGGGGGAGGCAGGGGCAGCGCCCCTCTTACCTGGATGTAGGCGTGGTTGGTGGGCTTGAAGGTCTCATCCACGGGCGAGGGGCACAGCCCCTCGCAGCGGTAGGCGTTGTACTTCTTGGGGTAGACGATCCAGCTGCCCCAGCCCGTCTGCTCGAAATCCACCACCATGTCCACCCTGCGGCACAGAGACCGGCCCTGCTCCCGCGGGGAGGCCGCGGCTTTGATCCTCTGCCTCTCCCTCCTGTTCCTGCGCTGCCGCCGCGCCCCCGCGCCCGGCGAGCCGCTGTCGCGCATGATGTACTTGGAGGTCTCCGCCGTCCTGATCAGGCTGTGCTCTCCTGGAGACTTGTCCTTGGAGAAGACGAGCAGCAGGACGCTGTCCGCCACGTCCTGGGGCAGGGCTGGGTCCCCGTGGCCGCTGTCTCCCGGCGCGGCGGTGGCAGCGCTCACCTCCCACTGCCCCCTTCCCGCGGGGCTCTGGTGCCCAGCGAGAGCAGCTTGGTGCAGCCAGGCCCGCAGCAGGTTGGTGACCTCGAAGACTTTCCAGGAAGCCTGGGTGGCAGAGGGAATGCCAGCCACGGTGCCCAGGAAGAGCTGGTGGGCGCAGGCTCCGTGTGCCCGGCACCTGCGCCGCTGGCTGTGGTAGATGTCCAGGGAGACGTTGCGGGCTCGGGAGAGGCCGGGCAGGCGGACACGGAGCTGAGCCAGACTCACCTCCTGGCTGCTGGACAGCGAGGACATGTCGAAGGAGAGCGCCCAGCGGGAGCCGTTCTGCAGGGAGCCTGAAAGCCGAGGGCACGGTGAGGGGAGTGGTGCCAGGGGTGCCAGGGCTGGGGGGGAAGGTGCCCCCCGCCTGCTGCCGGGAACCAGAGGCTCGGGAGAAAGCAGCTGGACCACCTGAGAGCCAGCCAGAGCCTCAGGCAGGGCAGGGATGTGGAGTGAGGATCCCTGGGCGGGGGTGCATGGGGACAGTGCAGGTCCCGGGGATGGCGCAGCTCCCAGGACAGGGAGGCTCGGGGACAGCGGCAGTCCCGAGACAGGGATGCCCGGGAACGGTGCCGGTCCTGGAAATAATGCGGGCCCAAAGACAGGGATGCTCGGGGACGGTGCCGGTCCCGGGACAGGGATGCCCGCGGCGCCACTCACCGTGTGGGGAGAGGCTGAGAGCGGCGGCGGCGGCGGCGCGGAGCGGGGCGGGAGGGGCGCGGAGCAGCTGCAGCATCAGCGGGGGACAGCGCTGCGGGGCGCGGGCCGGTGCCCAGGTGAGCTCCCGGGGGGACGCTCCGGTCGGTGCCCAGGTGAGTGCCCGGGTCGGAGCGCAGCCCAGGCGGAGCAGGGCGAGGGCGCAGAGCGCCAGCGCGGGCACGGAGCGGAGCGGGACCCGCATGTCTGCCCGGGCCACCCGCAGCCGCCCTATTTGTACAGCGGCCCCGAGCGCCGCCCCGGGCGGCCCCGGCGCCCCCCTCCCCGACAGCCCCCTCCCCTCTTCTCCCCGTCCCTCTTCCCATCCCTCCGTCCCTATCTCTGTCCTCCCTCCCCTCCACCCCCATCTACCTCCCGGCCATCCCTCCCCATTTCCACTGCCCTCGTTCCCCGCCCTGCTCTTTCTCCGTTTCTCCTTCTCCCCATCCTTCCCCCGCTGCCTCCAGCCTTCCATCCATCATTCCATCCATCCACCCAGCCATCCATCCATCCATCGCTGCCTCATCCCTGCATTCCTCCACTTCTTCTCTTTCTCCCCGTCCCTCCTGGGCTCGTCCCCACGACCACCCCTCTCCGTCCCTCTGTGCTTGGGGGTTGGGGGCGCCCACCCCCGCACTGTGCAAGGCCACTGCTGTCCTCAGAGCCCGCAGAGCCCGGGACGCTGGTGGCGAGTGTCCCAGGCACATCCCCGGCCCAGCCCAGCCAGCCCTGCCCCGCTCCTTGGCTAGGGGAGCAGCACCGGGGGGGCCCGTGGCCCCCAACCTCTGGGGCGGGGGTGCCACTGGGGTCCCCTCCCACCCGGAGAGGCGACACTCGTCCTTCCTGGGGGTAAAGGCTCTTGGACCTCCCGCGGGGCACCGGGACCCGCTCCCGGTTCGTGCCCCCGCAGTCAGCCCCGCGGGGTGACGTCACGGCAGTGCAGGGTGACGTCACGGCCGCGGAGAGTGACGTCACACTCGCCCCGCGCTGTGCTGCCGGCGGCCGCCGGCAGGGGGCGCGCTCGGCCACGGCGGGGCCCCAGCGAGCGCCGAGTCTCGCGAGATCACCGCGCATCTCGCGGCGGCGGCACGAACATGGCGGCGGCAGCGGCGGCTGAGGGCGCCGAGCCCCCCCCGGAGCCGCCCCCGGCCCCGGAGCCCCCGGCCCCGCCAGAGCCGCCCGCCACCGACGCCGAGACCGGGTATGTCCCTCCCTGGGCGGGCCCGTGGTACCCCCGCGCTCCCCGGGCCCCGCGGGCCCCGTTACCATGGGAACGCGGATGGGGGTCCCGGCCCTCCCTCAGTCCCTCCCTCCCTCGGGCTCCCGCGGCCCGAGTCCCGCCAGGCCCCGGGTCCCGGCTCCGCTCTGATCTCTGTGCCCTGGCAGGGGGGACGCCGCCATGGTGGATGCCAGCGCGGCCCTGGAGACCGAGTCGGCCAACGGGAAGGAGCCCCTGGTAGGTGCCGTGGGCACGGCGAGGTTGGTTCAGCCGCAGGGCAGCATCCCTTAGCGCCAGCGCTGCTTCCTTAAAGGGTTGTTTTGGAAGTTAAATCTCCGGCCGTGCGGCTCATCCTCACGAGCGGAGTGTACAAAACAGCTCCAGCCTGCAAGCAGCGCGCCGTGGGTTAGGGGAAAGGATTTATTCCCATGGTGGCAGACTCCTGCCCGAGCCCCTGTGCTGCCTGTCCCGGGCACTGCTGGATTCCTGGCTCTGCTCCGCCTCCAGGACGCTGCCGGGGACGGCGCCGAAGCCATGGATGCCCAGGGGGGCTCGGGGGACGAGGAGAACGCGCGGCAGCTGGGCGAGATCGAGTTGCAGTGTGGCATCTGCACCAAGTGGTTCACAGCTGACACCTTCGGCATCGACACCACGTAGGTGATGGGGCTGGCAGGGCAGCACGGGGCTTTAGAGTGCAGTGTTTGGAGTCTCAGTTCCTGAGGAGCTGCCCGTGTCCTTGAACGCTTGGGAACTGGTGTGTTGTGTAAATAAAGCTTTGTCCACGATAAAGCACCCCCGTGAAATGCTGCTGAGCCTGTAAGATGTCTGTGGTTTTAGGGAGGGAAGGAATACTTGGGTTTTAAGCTGGAATAGTTAGTTTCTTAACCCAGTGTAGTAAAGAATAAATAATTTTCTTTCACTCCAAGAAGAGCATTGAGGGGCTGGAGAGTGTCCAGGGCAGGGAACAGAGCTGGGAAGGGGCTGGAGCTCCAGGAGAGGCTGAGGGAGCTGGAAAGGGGCTCAGCCTGGAGAAAAGGAGGCTCAGGGGGGATTTTGTGGCTCTGCACAGCTCCTGACAGGAGGGGACAGCCAGGGGGGTCAGGCTCTGCTCCAGGAAACAGGGACAGGACAAGGGGAGGTGTCCAGGGAACCCCTGGAGGTGGCACTCAGTGCTCTGGGCTGGGGACAAGGTGGCCATTGGGCACAGACTGCACTCAGAGGGCTCTTCCAGCCTCACAGGTTCTGGGATTCGTTAGCCTGAAACAATAATTGCAGTGTACCCAGCCCTGACAGAGCTGCCTTTTCCTAGGTCGTGTCTGCCCTTCATGACCAACTACAGCTTCCACTGCAACGTGTGCCACCACAGTGGGAACACCTACTTCCTGAGGAAACAAGCAAGTGAGTTTGGGAGCAGCTTTTTGGGGGATGTTTTGTGCACCTTCATCTTGGAGGGTTGGCTTTGTCTGAAGTCAGTGGGTGGGCTCAGCTGAGACTTTCATAAAATGAGCCAAAATCCCATATTTACAACCACGCGTGGCTTCTTCTAAAAGTGTTTTGCTACTGATTTATGAAGGTGTTGTAACTGGTTCAGGAGGGCTGAGTCAGGACAGAATTTAGGGAGGTTTTGCAGTTTCTCAGGGTGATCACTGTGCCTGATCTTCCCTCCAAGTGTAATTGCAGGCCTGGGGTGTTTTGTTTCTCAGATCTGAAGGAGATGTGCCTTAGTGCTCTGGCCAACCTGACGTGGCAGTCGAGGACGCAGGACGAGCACCCCAAAACCATGTTCTCCAAGGATAAGGTCTGGCTCTTTGGCACCTGCCCCGGGCTCACAGCACTGCTGCTGTCAGCAAGAGCAGGAGCTCACACAAATGCTTTCTGTTCCTGCAGGATATTATCCCCTTTATTGATAAATACTGGGAGTGTATGACAACACGGCAGAGGCCTGGGAAAATGACTTGGCCCAATAATATTGTCAAAACCATGGTAAGGATTGAGGGTAAATCCCTGGAAGAATTCCCACAGGTTTGGGTTTCTGACATCTGTGTGTGCTGAGGGCTGGGCTTGGAGCTGCAGGGTGAAGGCACTGATGCTTCTTAGGCACTGATGTACCTAATGCATATTAATGGAAACTACTGGAATTTAAACACTTGTTAATGAATTTGTTATCATCTCACCCTGTGTAACTAAAACTCCTTTGTTTTAGTGTAAAGAAAGAGATGTGTTCCTGGTGAAAGAGCATCCAGACCCAGGCAGTAAAGACCCAGAGGAAGATTACCCCAAATTTGGGCTTCTAGACCAGGTATGATGGGAGACAGGAGGAAGGTGGGGAGCTGAGAGGGGGGTGGGTTCCTCTGGTACCTTTCTGCTCAGTCAAGGGGCACATCTCTGCTGTGAGCCTGAGCTGTGCCAGCAGTGGGTGAGTGCCCTGCTGAGGCTCAGAGTGTTCCCTTTGACCAAGTGTGCACAGCAGAGTGTTTGATCTCCTGCAGGATCTTGCCAATATTGGTCCAGCTTATGACAACCAGAAACAGAACAACGCCGTGTCCACGAGTGGAAGCTTAAATGGCAAGTTCTTTACTCAGAGGGCTTTGGGTATTTGGGACTAAGCTGCATTTCCCAGTCCTCTGGGGATCTGTGCAGTTAAACTGTCCTGTGAACTGTGTGCTTGTGCTCAACAGTCTCACTGTGCCTTTTTATAGAAAGATTAACTTTGTGTCTTGGGAAGGTTCAGCCCTTTCTTTACTGTGACCAGATAAATCAAGATGCTCGCTGAAGGCTGAGCTTGTCACTTTGCTCCTAGAATGGTTTTAAATCATCTCCTTGAGTTGTTCAGATTTCCTGTTTCCCATCTTGCTGAGGGTACTCAGGGCAGCATTACTGCAGTAAATTAACTGTTAATTGGTTTATATATTAATAATCTGTATTGAACACATCCCAGTAGTACAGACAGGAGGTATTTGGGTCTTTTTAAGGCAGGTTAGAGATATCTCAGGTGTGTTGTTTCCATGTCATGGTTGTTTTTTATTTCATTTCTGGGAGACTGACAAACATGTGGTGCCACTTCTGTTCTTGCAGGTGGAGCCTCTCTGGGAGGTGAATATTTACCTTTCAGCTTCTAAAACTTAAGTATTGCTGTTTGCAAAGCTTTTCTTGCTCGGTTCTCTTAGAAGCCAAAGTCAATCAAAAATGAAAGCGTGCCCTGATGTGATTGCAGTTGGACTTCAATACAAACCAGCAATTCCAGTCTTTAATCTTAGTAGTTAGAAGCTTTTAATTGCCATATTCTGCCCTACTTGACTGGTTTAAAGGTTTTGTTTGTTTATTTTACACTTATGTTTATTTTTTCTGTGTCAATTGACCTGATGTTGTAGTTTTAATGCTTAAACAATTGATCTGAAATTTACAGTGCAATGGTTTGTTGGACAAATAATTGTTTTTTTTTTGGCAAGTAATTGCTGACAAACTGGAGAGCCTGAATGTTTGTTTGCACTGAAATCAGGGAGTGCAGCTGGATCAGGTCATGTTTGTGCAGAATATGGCATTCCCTGGATGGTTTGGATCCCTTACTCTGTAAGGGAATGCTGGTAATGGAAGAGCTGACTGGATTTTTAGTTACCACAGGAATGTGGTTTGTGCAGGTGTTTATCTACAGTACATGAAATTCTCATTGTTTTCCTTATAAATCAGCAGTGATATCTTTGAAAATAGCAGGATTGTAAAATGCATGTATGATTTAATTTATTAAAACATGCTGATATTAATTTGATTAAGTTTGACACGTAGCTTTTCCTACCCTCAGTTTTATTACTGAGTGCTGAGTTCAAACTGATTTGCTGCTCAATCATAGAACTGATTTCAGCAGTACTGAAGAGAAACACCTCTTGCTTTTCCTTTTTCCTCAACTCAGGTGTATTTTATTTTGTAGATGGAAATGGAACATTGAGTGCTTGTTGCTGGTTGGTGTCAGTGCTCCTCCAGCACAGGGTCACCGCGTTGGTGGCTGTGCTGTAGGGTGGGTTTCTGCTGCTTCTGCAGAAATAGATTTGGGCTGTGACTGGAATCT